CCTTTCAGAAGATGTTGTGACGACCGCTCCTTTTGCCCCAGGGCAGATCTGCGTAAGCGGCTCGCTTTCCATAGCGAATGTATGTTCTCGCATAGGGATCATCATGGGCGGCAAGGGCCTGTCTGTGTCTGTCTTCGCTGATGTATCCACGACCTGGCCACTTGTTTTGCATTGGTTGAGGCATCATCAATAATTGGGGGCTGATTTCTTCGCCGTCGTCCTGCTCCGACAAGGCTTAAAAAGTGACGGCAAATGGAATGTAAACATTTGCTTATTATGAGGGAATAAGGCACATAATAGTTATGGGACCATAAATTTCCCAAAACTTTCATTAATTATATGATGCAAATAGTAGTTAGAGTGAAAAATATAAAGTAGTCTAGAATGTAATATCTATTCTAAAATGTATAAATGGGAGTGTCCTTTATCATCAGCATCAGCGTCGTCCCCTACGCCTCGGTGCTAAAAAATATAAGTTAACGATGCCTACCTTACATTTAGGGTAACTAAATGTGTTTTCGCCATGGAGTTTGCTACCTCAAGGCCTAATTCGTAGTGCTTATTCTGAGGATGCTTTTCACTGATGTCGCAGATGAATCAAATAAAACATATATTTCAGTTAAAAGTCTTCTTTTGGTAATGGGTTGTAGTAGGCTTTGAGGCTAGATCTATTTATTACAGCTTAATTAGGCCATAGATCTACTGCAAGGTTTAGTTTTACGAATCGAATGTTTTCCTCTCGGCTTAAATGTTTGTGGATGTCCTTGAGACAGGAACAATTGGTTATTGCTCGAAAAAAGTGATAAAGTGTGATTTGAGTGAAGTGACTTATAATTAAATACTAATTAGGTGTTTTACTCAAAAGCGCTATTGAGTCAAGTGGAAATTCTGTATACAAAACTAACTTTCCACAATAACCCTATTATGTCCTCAACATGTAGATGCAGTCAAATTATCGGCCTATTTAGTTAACGCATTTTTAAGTCCATATTTCCACGGTTAGTATGAAAATTTGACTCCAAATCATTGTATCGAAAACGCCTTGTAGACTCGGGATAAAATGTTGCCTCAATCATTTAAAAATCATCATCAGAAGTAGGTAAACAAAGACCGAGCATTCC